ACAATATGATATAACTTTATGTTTAGTGTTTAGTTATTAATCTTAGTTCTGCTTTGCTGAGGCTCATCTATGTGATACCTAACACGCATGATAATGTAATTAATTGTACTTTTATATGGCGAGCGCCCTATATCAATATTTTTTTGATTCATATTTTTTTTTTTTTACATAATATATAATATCTTATAATAAATGTACAATATAAATCCACATCATACTCATGTGCAATATTATTGTTCCGAAATTATTCTTCATCCGTTCCGTCGTTTGGTTATAAAATGTCAACTCCATAAATGTCACCGGTTCCTCAGCCAGTGCTGAAAATAGGTTGACCTGATGTCGTTGTCTGTCCGCGGATTGGTGTACGCTGTACAGCTTATGACCTCGGTGTGGCTGCATACGAACTGAGTCTCAGTTCAACCTTTTATGAAGAATGAATTCCTGGTTGTTCTAGGGTATATACCAATTGGTTCCAGTGAAATTTKAGCTAAAATATTAATTGAGTCCATGTTTTAATACTAACTGAGACCCGTAAAATTAAAAAATAAATAAATACATTTTCYTTCCCATTTTTACAGGCTTAGGACTATCTTATGCTTGTCCCAAATAGAATCGACAATYCCTAAGTTGTGTTGACGGCCAAACTTTATTTTCGGCAACATGAATTGCCATTTCAAAATCAGCAAACACAGTTTTAGGACTAAAACATAAATTAAGTTTTTGACATTCTGAAAATATTAATTGAAAAGAAGCCTCATACGTGATTGAAGCTTTGTCCAAAAGTAAATTAAATACCAAAGGAATGCAGTTATTATTTTTTATTCCATGGATATTAAATAGTTGAGTAAACTGTATTGGGCAGCTTTTTAAAGTCCCGTCACTATATATTGTATCACACATRCCTAATTAAAAATTAAAAATTTATGGCACATGAAAATATTATTATATTTTTAGTTTCGTCATTAATCAGTATAAATGATTCTTCTATATTTGTCTTCAGATTAAGATCAATAATAGCTGCATGCAATTCTGTTAAGGTTTTTGGTAATTTAGGCATTATCGATGTTCTAGCATGATGTATATTTTTCCGAATTCATTGTAAGTCATATCTAGTAGTCATTAATGTATCTATATCATTCTCTCTGAGGTCTCTATGAAAAATTTTTGAAAGTCTCTCAAYGGGATCATCTAATGCTTTGCGTTTTACTCTATTGCAAATTTTCTGTATATTTATTAAAAATTCACTTTGTTTTTTATGGTTATGACATATAGATTTCTCAACTATAGTATTAAATTCATTTAATTTAAAAAATGACTTACAATTATTTTTGAAACAAGTCCAGCGTTGGTAATTTTTYGATAAATGCTTATGAAAACGAAATTTATATCCGTCATTTAAAATATAGTTTTATTTCTCTCACTTAGTATAACTTCATCCATGATGCTTGGCGTACCTCGTAAACTAGAATGTTTAATATAATGAAAAAAATGTCCGGCCTAAATAATATTTATTATATTATGTTATCTGATGAAAGTGATGATAAAATYGATATCGATAGACGGTGATTATTAAACAAGCGATGATAGAAATAAAATCTAAACTTCCCGGGCCATACTATAATATGTTACTATATTATCTGACGAAAGCCATAAAAACGACGTACATCAAGTTAGCCCCCCCCCCACTTTCACCTATCGACTCAAAACAATTGTAAATCCATTGTAAATAATTGTAAATTCATTCCCCGAATTTGTAAATCACTTGAAAACTTAGAAATCAAAAAACCAAAATGAGAACAGATAAAATGAAATAAAAATTAAACAATCAAAAAAAATATATAAAATAAATTGTTGATATTTAAAAAAATAAACAAATACAACAAGGTAGTAAAAGAAATATATATTTTACAGATTAAATACTTAAAAACTGATGATCAAAAAAAAAAAATTAAATAAAAAGGAAATTACTGATTTTCCTCAGCTGAAATTATAAAAAAAAAATAAAAAAATTACAATTTTATAAAATATAAAAGCTGACAATCG